ATCATCTGCCTTCTGCTTTCAAGAGTGCTCCATACGAGCTGAGATGCTGGAGGATGGCTTGACAGAGCTGATAGACAAACCATTTAATGAAGATGGGGCAGATGGGGGGGGGGGGGGGGGGGAACTTAACAGTGTGCCAAGGACACCAGCAGACTGGCCTGATTGCCAATCAAAAACAGATCCACTGTGAACTGAAGCAATGGTGGAGGGTGCCAGGTATTGGGAAACTGTTGGAACAGGGGGAGCTGGGTTTCTGACTACTGGTGAGCAGAACATGGTGTGGTTCAGAGATGGCAATGCTGGTGGAGCATGGTCCTGGGACAGTGTACTTCCCCCCATGCTCTCACTCTCACTGTTGGAAGGACCCAACCCAGCATTTGATGGGCCTCTGGCAGAATCATCGATGGTCAACACTGAAAAGTGATTCAAGCCCTTGCCCTTGGAGGGCATGAGGTCTCTCATCTGTTCATAGTGCACCCAACCCTTGTTTTTATAAGGGCCTGCATCCTTGTGGATCTGTTGATGTTGCCATTAGCACAGGAAATTCCATGTTAATTGAATCATACCCATACCTTCAGATAGTTGTTCCATGTATCCTCACTCATGACACCAATATTGGCCCCTGCCTCCAGGGAATATGTGAACCCAGACACATGGCAGAGATGATCAACAGCTGCATATGTAGTTCATAGCTGCATGATATCAGCTGGTTATTCTGTCATTTGACTGATAGGCCACACACCCTTTTCCATTTCTGTTTACATGCTTTAGGGGTCTTGATACCCCCTTTGACAGGCTCAGGAAGGGCTTCAGCAGCCACATTCCAAAATGTGTCCTTAAAATTTAAACCATCACCAGCAGTTTCCTTGTGGGAAGCAATGAAATTAAGAAGGGCCTTGACATCATTATCTGACCATGACACTGGCTTGCCTTCCAGGGACTGCGAAGTATGTGATTTACCCTTGGAGGGTTATTTTGCTGTTTTATGGGGGCACACGACGATGGAAGGATGAAGGAAGATCAACAGACTGTGGAATGTCAGGCTCATAACCCCTGCCCCTAGCACGGCATCTCAGCTGTCCACCAAGCATCTCCTCTCGAATTCAAGCTCCACTTGAATATTGGATGCTTATGTGATAAAGCCTGGGACTTTTTTCTGGGTCTTTTTTAGTTGGATTCTTGGTGGGACTTTGTTTCTGAACTGGCTCTTAAGTGTGGTCAATCAAAGTGTCCAATGGTTGACCTTCCACACATCAGATGAGTGCCCCTAGGGCCTCCTTAAGAGCCAGTTTGGAAACCAGTGTACAACCCATTGCCAACACATGTGTCAGTTAACATGCCTGGGATGCTCCATGAACTACAAGGCAGAGTTTCAACCTTCCTTCCAACTATACAACAATGATCACTCATATTGCTTCTGCTATGCTTTGCATTGTACATGTTGCTGGACTCCTTGTTCTTTTAGAATCAGATCAGGAGCCAGAAATGATGAGTAGTCACAAGTGGACTGATTCAGAGACTCACACTCTCCTTGACTACCTCATTGAACACTGGTCAGAACAAGGCAATACAGGCAACTTCAAATCCAGTGTATTTTCTTGTACCACTGCTGCAATTGCTCCACCTAACTTGCCCCCCACAAGGACTGCTCAGCAGATTCAAAATAAATGGCGATGGGTAAGTGCATCCTCCTCACACTGATAGCCTTGACTGATATTGTTATTAGTTGAAAGGGATCTATAATTCCATTGAAGGCTTCATTCAATGCTCTGGGTCTTGCTCATGGGATGAACATTTTGGTGCCAATATTGTCACACCAGCTGAAGAGAATGTATGGAATAGCTACATTGCAACCAATGTACATTGTCCCCTATCATCGAGTGTATCAGTTCATCTAACATGAATACGTCAGAGTGGATGATGTATCCTGCCCTATAAAAATGTGGGATGGCCATTTTATGCAAAGATGGCACAGATCACCCCATCAGGAGGGGCACAAGGTGCTAATGCATATGCACCATCAGAGGCCCCCTCATCCAACTGGCCCCCAAATTGGCTCAAGGATGAAGATCAAGAAACATGGCCAGGTAACTTTGATGAGCCTTCCAACAGTAACATCAGTGGCATGAACCCAGCTCCTGATCCCTTGTATATCAACTTCATGGCTGAATTTCCCACATTTTTTCTCAACTCTTCACACCCCAATCCACTGATTCCATCTGCATCGCCCAGTGTCTCAGCACCCATTGTGGTCCCAACTCAGGGGGTGGGCACACTGTCAGCCAGCATCCCAGCATACCCTCCCTTCCCAATGAAGGGGCTGGGCATGTCTTCAGGGAGTGTCAGTAGGACTGGTAAGGAGAGATGCACATTTTCTTCTGGGCCCTATCCAACTTTGTACACTTCTACCCCACCCCCATCATGTAAACCATCTTGTGGGTCTGGTCAGTTGTCTGCCCAGTCCTTTGGTCCTCCTAGGAGTCAACAGCCAATTCTGCCCAAACTCTCAGCTGGGACTGCAGTGTTTGGTCTGACTGGCACTGTCAACCACATGACCGATCTCCTTGGTTTGATATACCATGACAGTGCAAATGCAAGTGCTGCCTCACCTGCCCCTGCCCCTGCCACCACCATCCAGCATGGAGCTGCCACCACCAGTTCTGTTGACCACCTTTCCAAGGTGTTGACCCTTCTGTCCACTGAGGACTCCTCACTACCAGTTGAGGTAGGTGCATTTATGGTGCACACTGTTACTGCAGATGAGAAGAAGGCAATGATGTATGCATCCATCACAAATACCACTCTTCATCAAGCTGTTGCCAACCAAGAGTATCAACGATCAATCACTAGTCATCTGTGGGAAGGTGGTGTTGATCAGGGGGGACCACTTTGAATTACAATGTAGCTGCATATACTTTCCATACTGACATGTACCTCTTTCATTTGTTGTTGTAATTCATGCTGTTTCAGATGACTTATCAAGAGTAATCACTGGAATTAAGTCTTCACATTAAAAAAATGTGCATGGAAGGGCAGTAGTTCCTAGGTATATTCCCCACCACTTACTCATCCTCAGCACCATCCACATCCATGTCAGACTCATCTTCAAGGAGCTCCATGTGTCCCACTGCCTCTCTCTCCCTCAGGATGGCCTGGTAATTGATCCACATTGCCTTGGCAATTTGATTGTGCAACACATGTGCCTCTGGATGTTCTCCATTGCCTTCCAGTACACCAGGCCCCTCCAACCCATCACCACCTTGCACACCTGTGTCAAATGGAGCGCCAAAGTCTTCTGGAAGTTTGCCTTCAAATGGATCATGGATGTGGATGAAATTATGAAGGGTGCAAAGTGCTGCTGGCAGCTGTGCTTGCATCTGGAGATCAAATGGTGGAACTAGTGAAAGGATATGAAAACGACACTTTATGACACCAAAAATATGTTTGATAACATTGTGGGCCAACACCTGCTGCAAGTTGAACAATTCTTGCTTGTTCACAGACCTGCAGTTTTCATCAGTAGGATGGTCAGGGGATCATAAGTGTGATTACTTACCTTACACTAGCATGGCCCCATTCAGCTAAATGGTAGTGTGCACCACAGTATGGAACAAGCAATGTTCAGTCTGCAGGAAATCCAGCATCTGCAAGCAAAAACTTTCCTTCAGGAATCCTCAAGTCATGTGTGGTTGCATATTTGTAGACATGGGCATCTGCTGCACTGCCCTCCCAGCCCATAAGAGAGTATATAAACCGTAAGTCAAAATTGCATGCAAAGAGACAGTTTTGGGAAACATATCCCTTGCAGTTCTGGTAGTTCAAACGTACATAGGTGGGGGGAGATGCATGGATATGGCTTCCATTGATGGTGCCAATAGCATTGCAGAAGTATGGCCAGAATTTTGGGTTGTTTTGGATCTTCGAAGGAACAGTATCACCAGCTGGAAATTGAACATAGTCCATATAAAAAGGTTGTGTTGCAAGCATGGTGAGTATCATATGGAAATAACTGGAAAATCCATGCAGTAGTTACATTGGAGGAGTGTTAAATACATACCATGAAATTGTATCATTCAATCATTGAAAGTGCTCCCCTACATGCCTGAATGGCAGGCCAGTGATGCATGTATACAGGAATATCACAAGTTGTTCCTCAAGAGAAATGAACCTTGAATTCTTGAGTCCAAGCTGCTGCAAAGCAACAATAAGCTGCTGGAAAACCTCCATGTGCATCCCAAGTTCACAATGAATGCATTCTGGGTGACCCACAAGCAGTTCCAGCTCCCAGTCTTCACCAGACAGGTGGGAGGTGTGGTATGGCTGAGGTTCTCGCCCAAGATCTGATTCAAGGAGATGTGTGACTGCACAGAGAACAATGCTGAGGACCAACACAATATACTTTACCAGACGACAGCGTTGTTCTAGGCTGAGAGGGTGCATGTAGGGTTACATACTTGTAGTACATGCTGATTGATTATCACTATCGGCAGCCCGGCACAGATTATGGCTCCGACTAAATTTCGGCATCCGCCGTTAGACTCAAGCGAGCCAACATGAGTCGGCAATACTCGGCAATGCTCTACACCAGTTTCCGAACTGGCTCTAAGGTAGTCGAGGTTCACTGCAATTCTAACTCCGGACCCAAATGCATGGAGTCAGAATCAATGACTACTTCGGTTTGTTTTCGCTATCACCTTGTTTGCAAGGTCACTGCACCCCAAAAATTGAGATGCTTTTTTCGACATCCACGCATATGCCTCAATAACAAGTCCACACAGCAAATCCCACCAGCCACCTCACAACTGTAGCATGCTCGGGCATGGTAAACAAGGTGCCTGCCGGCGACGACGGCCCTGTTCTAGTACCATACCAGACCCTTAATCACGTTGTATTATTGATCACCACAGCGCCGCAGTTGGGTTCCAGCCTTATATGGTCATGTTTAAGAAAACCTGAGTGATCGACAACTTGGCCTCACTGTAGCCTGCGGTCCGATAAGTATGGAACGCACTGCAGCTCCAGTAAGTATATTACTTGAGAAATGAGGAAATTAGCTGACTATACGCTGCTAGTGTAGTAGCTTGGACACAAACATTCGTAAATACATACTTCTCAACCTACTGCTTATATAAACCCTAGAGGAGCCGTTTGCAATTCCTAGCAGACGCTCTTGCTGGGCAAGCTAGCCGGGGTGAGCAACGCCGATCGTATTTCGCATCGTGTCCTGGCTGACCTCCTTGGCATGCGTCAGGACACGCACCTGGTAGTTACACTATGGTTCTGGCCACGGGACGAGCTGAAGTGCGTCAGGTGTAGGTTCACGCAGATCATGATTGCTCAAACACAATAAAGGTGAGTAACACGGTAACGCCTAATGCAGGCCCCCAAAGCAAAGTACGCAACGTCCGCCTTGCAGTTATGGCCTGCTTTTCATGACTTGTTGTGTAGCTGCGTGTTGACGAGCATGCCGATTGCTCGCCAAAGCCGTGCCTCTATCTGGGTTCAGGTGAGAAGCGCTGTTTGCAACTTATCACCTGTACCACCGTTCCGGAGCATTTTGAGGGTCATGGGCCATCTACCGTGGAGTGGAGATCACCTGTCGGTGGGAGGGGTGTTTCCAAAGTTGTGGGCGGCATAACTTTGTCCGCCATGTTCGTGAGAAGCACCTCGGACATACAAGAGGATCAGCGGCCGGTCGCCGACAACACGCTTCCTTTCATGGAATGGTTGATGATGCAGAGGGCTCAAAGGAAGTAAGCAACATTCACTTTATTTACAACTGTGGTCTGTCTTTCACACCATGTCTCCGTGTAGCCTCATACTAAGGAGCATGCCGATCGTGTGCAACATTTGTGCCAGTATCAGGATCTTGATAAGGGACTCTGTATGCGGGAGATCACCTACGCCACCGTTTCAATGCACTTTGCGACCTATCACGGAGTTAAAGCGATGTCCCGCAGGCAGATGGTTGCCTGCCTGTGGGTTGGCTGTGTGGATAAATGTATTCGACGACACAGCTTTGTCCGTCACATCAGGGAAAAGCACCTTGGACACACAAGGGGATCTCCTCAAGTCCGAGAAAGCTGCTGGACGACACAGTTCAGGTGCCGCCTTGCATGGGGAGGTTGATAAATTTGTTGAAACTTGAGGTGTGGCGGCCGCCGATCGTGTCATCAGCCTCCTACGTATAGATTGCGTCTGTATCAATGTGCCATCAAGTTTTCGAAAGCTGAGATGACCGGTAGCTACACTGTGATCCTATATCATTCCCGCTGCTCCCGCTCTTTAAACCGCTTTTACATTTAGTTTTGGAATGTTGCCAAACAATACGGACAAGGGTGGTGTGTGCCAAGCAGCGAAAACAAGGAAATTAGGAATGGCGTGCGCCATTGTTTGGCAACATTCCAATTTGCGCTCGTTTGAGTTTTGGTTACTTTCTGGTCTATCGATGTGAAGTCGCTGCAAGTATGTAAATATGCACATTAAATTTTAGACCGTCATTCACGTGGATGCACAAGCCAAGGGACCAGTAGCCCTGGTCCGAATATCCTCATCCATATACGAACGGGTAAGTCAACGCATGCACCACACGCGGTAACTGCAACACGTACCGGCAAGACATGCACATGCGTTGTCCACGCTCCTGTTATTGGTGGGCCACGTGTTTGATATAATCTGTGCATACATGCGGACCTCCAGGGATCTCCCTCGTGCTGATAGAGTTCCCTGCCCTTAACCACGTTTATGGAGGACCTCCAGTGGAAGACAAATAAATACGGAGTGCAGAAACCTCCAACTGTCGGTGGAGGGCCCGTTTTGGCAGAGTTGCTGCCTCGTCTTACTTTCTTAGGATGGCATCGTCTGCGGGCATAATTTCTTCCGCCACGTCTGCGAAAGCCATCTCGGACACACAAGCAAATTAGCTGCCCCGATGGATGAACGTGAGTGTATTCTCTCCCCGGTTGATGCATGGAAGGCTGAACTCTAAAATTTGAGACGGTGTTGTCGGTTACTGGACCGCCTTGGACCTCCGCATCGTATGTAATGGCTCCTCATGTCCATTCAGCGGTGGTCGCTGAATAGCGGTGCGGTAGGATCTCTAATTGAGGGACGGTCAGGGTCCCGTACTTTGTAATGAAGAGCTGTGACTGATTACAGGTCAACCCCTCATGTGTGAATGATCACAGCAATCGCCTCTTCCGCCGACTCCATCGTGTCCATAAATGGGAGCGCCCTCGCCCCCCGAGACATTGCCTCGCGCCATATGCTTGTTTTGAGCTCAGGAAGCTCGAACAGCCGCTCACCAGTCGCAACTAGCACGAAGTCAGTCGCTTCGCAAATCTCACCAAAGCAGTCGACGTTAGGCGGTGTGGCTCGTTGATCGTCCGTGTTGTAGAAGTACAGTATCCCATCGAAGGGACCATTGAGTCTGTGGCAGCTTGAATCCAAAGGTGCAGTTCATTACGTTGTCATCCTCACCTCAAATTTTGTAACCAGTTTTTTAGCATAATGCGAACATCACACACAGAGAACCCCTCGCTATTCACGAAGGAATTGACGGCAGGCGTGTCAAGAAGGGTGACGTTTCTACCTCCCACATTCACCTTGACGGCCGTGACGCAATGGGTAGGACACGTCAGGCTATAGGGACGGCCTGTGAGCTTATGTACGAACTATCCAATAGTTAGGGCATATGACTTCGCGGGAACTCATCAAATCTTACTGAGTTTTTCCCGGAGTCTGAGGACCCGACCAACCTGCAGGCAAATTGTGAGATTTATTTCTGTAGTCTACGAGCATGTGTGTTACTTACGCGATGATCGTATCATCTTCTGTATATACTGCGGAATCAAATTTCTCAAGAAGTGTGCCATGTATTGAAGGAAGGAATTACCGCTACGACTTAGACGACGCCACCACTGAAAAAGGTAAGTGATAAGTAAAAGAAGACGAAATTTTATCCGATCGAACTGACCATTCTGTTGGACGGGGAGTGCGAGTCGGGGGGAGACGCAACTATCTCTTATAGTCGGGCCACTTTTACTGCTCAGCTTAATAAGTGAAAAAAGGAGCATGGGTAACGCATGGCTGCACGCCTCGCGGCCTCGCCTGAGCAACGTGTTGCACTGTCACATCCGACACCAGCTTCCCCGCACTGGTCACCCTCATTGTTGCGAAGATACCGTCATGTGATGCTGCTTTCGTTTTGGCCTCCCTCGTTCGCGCCGCTGCGGACAGCGTCGAACGATTGTCAAGAGGAACGCAATATAACGCAACGGAGCACGGATTTTCATTTATGGTACACCTTGGGTGGGCGTCAAGGACGTCACGGCATGAATCCTTGGAAGTCGAAGCATCAAATCTCGCAAAGGCAGGGTATTGATGAGTATCCTTTCGGTTTCACATTCCTCAACGTATGGGCCCTGCAGACGCAATGATCTGAGCTGGTGACGATCTCGAACGGCGGGGATTGTACTACCGTCACCGTCGCCCTTGTTGATGTTTTGTAGCGGGCATCGGGACACTCTTACACCTCATCATCGCCGGGTTCAGTGCTGATGATATGGCGGAGAGTCTTCGCACTGTCATTGACCCCATTAACCAAAATACCCTGGTAAAATACGAGCAGGTTTTCGGGCAATAAATTGAAGAGGGCGTTCCCGTTCTCAGTCCGACTCTCCCCTGACGCGCTTCGCAATGCCGATGACAACCAAAGAACACATGAAGACCACAACACCCAATCGCCGCGAGCAGGCTGGGAGAGCCGTTGATTCACGAGTCTACATTTGCAACGACGGAATATATGTATTGGAAGGGGAGTCGGATGATGCTGCTTACGATTAATAGAGTAGGATAGTATTGTGCTATGCAAAAAAGCGTGCAAGTTGATGGACCGGATGGTGTGGACAAGCATGGATGACTACGAAGCGGGGACGGGTGAGAAGTAAACCGGATCGGCGAGAAGCGGGACATTGGAACCCCTCAAATCAGTTCTATGAGAAGAAATACAATGACTTCTTGATCGTCTCCACCTGGAAATCGCCTTTCTTAGGAAGCGGGGGTATAAGATCAGGCAGACTAATAAATTTGTCTGCCAAGGAACTGTCCGCATCGATACCTTCTTCGTCTTCGTCTGCCTCTACTTCGGCGGATTCTTCGTCCTCCGTAACGGCAGCTGTCTTTGAAGACGCACGTTTCCTCGTTCGCCGTTTTTTAGGTGTGTCAACGACCTCCGAATCCGGCGAAGGTGTAGGTTTGGAGGTGGAGTTGGAGGCAGATGGAAATGAGGCTGGGGAGGCGGACGTGATGGAGCTTGCCTCCGTCTCAGAAACGTCTATCAACGGATCAAACGTCGACGTGTGAACGCTCTTAATAACAGTAGCCTCTTCTGGCGAAGCCACGATCCGAACACCAGCCGTCTTTAATTTCTTGAGGAAACTTCCAACGCGCAGCGATGCAAGGGGGACCTTGTAGTCTGCATAGCGAGCCTTGAATTCAGATTCGAGTTTACCCAAGATATCCGAAGAGTGCAAAGCGATGAACGTATCCCGGATGATCGTCGACATCTGATCGATGCTGCAGGCGTGCGTCCAGTAGGAATCGTGAACCGAAGCAAAAACGATCCCCCGCGTCTAGGAAAGCGAAACGTGATTAGCCCGAGTTGTACAAAAAAAAGGGTCCATGTATGCTTACCCTACATTCCAGCGCCGTCAGCATCATGTGGGTAGCATCGAGGGAATGAATGAAATTAGGAGGGAAAGCAGATGCTTGCTTGACGCCATTGACTTCAGCAGGCGAATTGGGATCCGAGATGTAAACGGTCTGCAAAGCGGTCATGATTTGTTTGCGCTTCGTCTTGCGGTACGGCTGGACGATCGGCAGCCCAAGTGGCGTAGTCCACACTACAGCTGCCATCTGCTCCTTGCGAATGCGGCTCAGTGCGTTCAGGGATGACCCATCCTTTTGCTGTTGAGGCTGGAATGCCTCGGCCAACCGATCCCCAGGAATAGATTTCGAGATCAGCCTGGCACAAAGATTGAGCCAGGTTTGGATGGCTTTTGCTCCAGCAAAGAGATCCCCGATGCAGTAGAGTACCTATCACAGGAACGGATTAGTTGTGTTGGCGACAAACCCTGGCAGATGCAACTATACCTTCCTAGCAAGATACGACGAAGTCGCCCAACATTCTTCCTCGGGTATATCTCCTCTATCCTTGAGCTGCCTCTCGATTTGGTCACGAGCTCCGATATAGGTCACACCATAAACCGTAGTCATAACCTAGAACTCCACGTGAGCAGAGGTCGCAGGGGTCGAAGTCATTCATAAAGACTAACCGTCTGCTTAACAACCTTCCTCGATATCTTCCCAACAAGCATCTGCGCCACTCTATCGCCTTTGGCTGCATCTTGTTCGACGACTTGGTTCACCATGTTCGCAACATAGGTGTACACGTCCGAGGGACGGTCTGTCGCAGCCAAGTTGACTTGTGCTGCGCCTTCGCGATCTCCTCCCAAGGCAGCATAATGTTGCAAGCCGTTGCACGTCCCATCCTGATGGATGGGAAGGGTAGACATATAACCCTCCGGATCCCCAGACTCCAGAGCGGCACGGAGCTCCATACAGGTGGAGAGACATTGCCATGGATCACCAGCTGTCGCCCACCAACGGCGACCCTGCAGTCGAACAAGTGAGCACACACGAGTTCTACAGACGACTATGGACCAACCTCCAAAGGTCTCTCGGCGCTGTCATAAATGTCGTCCAGATGGTTCATAACAAACTGCACACGCTCGTCAAAACTACCCTTGTCAAATCCGTACAAGTTTGCAAGATGAATCTTGAGCCAACGCAGACCACGCTCTCCGAGAGGTTTGGCTTCGGCAAATATGAGAAGTCCACGACTGAGATCATCACCAATGTGATTCAAATGAGGAGGAATAGGATAAGCACGCCCACGGAAATCGAGATTGTGCGGGAGGTAAAAAGCATCTCCCAGGAACTACAAGGAATCAGCGCGCCGGTCTACGTGTATAAAAAATAAAGAACCTACTGCACGCGCGATCTCAATCTTGTAATTCACGCTACAACGATCGGAGTGGTTGTTCGCCTTATCCTGCTGATATGCCCTTAGCCTCTGGCTGTATACGCTTCTTGCCTTGATGTCTGTGTGGTAGTTCTCCGGTTTCTCGGGCTCGGGCTTGTCGAACACTGCCGGTGGTATTTTGGAAAGCCGTTCACCGGAATTCCAAACCTTGAGCACGACATCGAAAATCTGTTTGTTGATCTTCCACGGCGTGCTGCCGAGCACGTCCAGTCCCGCGTACACTAATTCGACGTTGCCCAAAGCCGAGGCGTGCTCTAGGTATGCCTGCTGCTCAGCACAATCCTTAAATCGCATAACGGAGGCTACGTCCGTAGTTGCATGAGTTCGAATGCCCACGATCTATGAATCACGGCAAACGCACATTTGTTGTAAAAGTAACCACCCTCGTCTGGGCCAAGCCACGGCTTAGGTTTCACAAGCATAGGCAGATGACGTGGGTGTAGAGTTTCACGCAGATCGTCCTTAGCAAGACGCTCCGCAACTACAGGGTTCAGCCGAATGATACCTAACTTCTGACCACGAACAAACTCATACGAGTGACAAAATGCGCCCTGTTCTTCCCTCCTGCATAACAAATCAGCTTACAGTTATGGATTATTATCAAAACAATTGTGAATTCTCACACTTCTTGCCCGGTATTCTTGTCAACTGCGACACGCTCGACGGTGGCAACCTTCATCAAGGAATCAACCAAGATACTCCCCATCCGGACACGTAACACCTGCGTCCACTCTGAAGTCCATTCTTCGCTATCCTCCATATACTTGGCAGCTGTCACACGCCGAGCATGTAGATCCCTGTATCCGAGGCCTGAGAAGTAACCATGATCTCCGCCGGCACGCGCATGGGCAGGGATTGCGATGTTATTGCGCTTGCACATCTCAGCCTTGTATTCGTTCTCAACGGCACGTCCAACGGCAAGCAAGGCACGAGCAGTTTTCATGCCATCGCTAACGCCGCCACTGCCATTTAAGCGCATGACCTCCAGAATAGTTATTAGCGACAGCTTCTCCGGCTTGACGAGCGAGAGGAAAGGGGCTAATTGCTTTTCTGGACCTACATGGTCATTAATACCATAATCAACCATAGTGCAAACTAGCTTACATGGTCTACTCTGTTTTGATTCAGTGGCCACGATTCTCGCGATTTCGGTCTCCAAGTGGGCAGAAAGCTTTTGATACCAGTCCCACATCCACCTTTGTAGACCAGCACGTCGTAACGAAGGGTTACTCAATCCTAGGTCGTCGAAGATTTCTGATTCGTGTTTCAATCTCTCGACGGCGACGTCGTATGCAGACTCCTCGAGAAGCTTCTGACGGGCAGCGACATCTTCTGGCAAAACGCGCCGAGCGAGTGAAACTTTCGCCAGATGTTTCCGCAGGTTATCCAGGTTGAAAGGAACTTCTTGCGCCAGTTCTTCGGGCACAGGGGTGCCATCCTCCGACACCACGTCAATTTTCTACAAGAGTTATGAGAGTCGTCTTTACGAGAAACGTTGTAACGTACTTACTTTCAATTTTGTAACGGGATTAACCTCTGGAACGTTTTCCAGAGGGTCGGGTAGTTGACAACCTAGGGCTTCGGATTGTCCCAACTCTGTAACTATCCGAGACAAACTCATGTCCACTGCTGATTTGGAGAGAATCCGGATAATCTGGGATGCCTCGGAGGAGGAAGAAACTACGCGATCGGTGATGACGGTCGTAGGTGATATACCGCGTGCGACAAGATTGCTCAGTAACTTGGATGGATTCAGGGCGGAAGTAAGGTGTACAGGCTTTTCTGAAGCCGAATTAAATCTAAGAGAGAGTGAGAAAGCTTGGATAAAAAGATGCCAGCGTTCAGGCCTACCGCAACCATGCGAGAAGCATTATTGCATATGTTTGGGACGTGGGCTGAACCTTTTCTTCTCCACTTTCCATGATATGATACAATTGCCATGCATCCTCTATCCACAATGCCCTGTCATTAGGTTCCTTCGTAGTGGCCATTTCGACATACGCCTCTAAAAATGAGTTGTGTATCCGGGCGTCCAGTATATGTTCTGCGGAGGGAGACCTTCGTAACCGCTCAAAGACCTGTTTCGCACGAGGGACATCGTACAGATTGTGCAAGCACGCATGCATCACGGCGAGTTGATCTTGAGTGGGTGAGTCAGTAAACAGGAAGTTGTTCAACGGCGATGCCCTGTCATCTGGAAGTGGTGACGGTAAAATGGTGTAACGTGTTCCGCGGTTCAAAAATCCCTGCATGTCATTGACGGCGCTGCTACCACTACCACTTCCGCCAATGTCTCCCACCATAGGGTCCCTGTACAAATAGGAGGGGAAGTTTGGACGGGGAACTTGCACCTGAGCGAACGCGGAGGCGGGTGCGCTGCTTTTCTTTGATGGAGTGGAGTAGAGACGGTGGGGTCTCGGCAGACGCTGTCTTGAGTACGACAGCAAAGTCGTCTCTAGCCTGCGAGCAGATGTGCGAGGTATCATTCTGTGTCGTCGTCGTCACCGTGTCGCGCGAGCAATTAGCAGAAAAAAAATGGCAACAGGGCCCAAAAAGTGTCTATTCCCACGCGACACAGGGGTCGTCAACTGCCTCCACTCCACAACCTTCACTTAGTTCCTGACTCTCATTCCTATAAGTTGCAGCTGCTCCCTATTCAGTGGGTTCACAATCGATAGGAACACGCTTGGATGCTTGGCTATAGCGAAACAACGGCGTCTACAACATGGCAGGTTTGTCGGCACGTTACCGACCCGAGAGAGAGTGGCATGGCACAGGCTGAACAACTCCATTTGCGGGCACCTCAGCGAATGGCATCTTGTCGTCATTATCCGTTGATAGTTATTGAATTTGGTTTAGCTCCCTCGGACCAAGGCTTCTGCAGGCAATGCACGTGTCTTGTTAAGCTCGAGGTTTGTGGTCAAGGTGAGCGTTGCACGGTATTCGATGCCTGTTGAATCCCATGGTCGCCCAGCACATATTCAAACCACTGTTTCCGGACCTCGCCGAAATTGAAGGTGCACGTTTTTGACAGTGTTCTGTGATGTGATGCTATTGGACTGCCTCAAATATCACTTCCTCGACGCTGGAGACTTCTCCGTGATCTCTCCCCTTCGCGAGCTTCCTGCCCACATCTCTAGGCCTGCAGATACTATTTGGTCTCCCCGGAAATCCGTTCTTAGCGCTGTCGTTCTGCCAGATGCTGTGCGTCTTGGGCATTTATCGCACGGTTTGCGTGCGCACCTCCTCTGAATGCTGCTTTGACCCAGACCAAATGGTGTTTCCCTGGCGCGAATCCTGTCTTCGGCTTGGCCCACAGTCAAATGGATGTGACAGTGAGCAAAAGGTGTGCGCATTTTGCGCATAAAGAAACCAACTCTGACTCTTGAGACGAGCACACAACTCGGCTTTCAGAACCTTATCCCGTCGAAAGGTTTTATACTTGTCTTACTTTCGTGTATCACCGTAAGTCAATGAGAAGGTAAGGTAGCAAACAACGCCACGAAACGACATGGACCGACAAATTAGATAGTACCCCATTGCTCCCTTCGGACAGTCCATATTTCCTCAAGGTTCGGCGCGAATATATCACCAAGCGGTGTATCCGGAAGCTAAGTAGAGATTCAAGTCTCGAGCGACGATGTGTTCTGAGATTTCACATACCCGTGTTAACGTATCCACTATAGCCGCCTGGGTTCACCTTAGCAGAGCCACTGTTGCCACTGGCTGGGGTACAAAGTCATGTGAGCTTTCCCTCGCCATGTAAGCAAATTCAGCATCTTACGGGTGCTTCCTGTATTTGTTGTAGACGTGTTGGGATTGCCTGTAGTGTAAGATTGATTGCCAGCGGTATAGGTCTGGGCTTGGTTCGACTGGTGAGGCATACTGGACACGGAGAAATCGATAAAGTTAATAGCTGCTCAAGAGGTGGGTTGGAACTTGGGACTAGCAGAAAGCGAAACTGCGACGCTTTAAACTCCTTATCGTGTTTGTATTGGTGCACAGCTTGGCAGGCGGCGATCAGCGCATGATATTTCTGAGCGGGAAGTGAACGCCCACTTGACCCCATGACCCTACAGCATGGAATCCTTCAAACACCAAAACAGCAAATCTGCCTGTTCTCGAACAATTTTTGCACTGGTACTTGGTAATGCTGTGGATAAAGTTCGGCGCGGTGGCAAGGTGGCACACTAATAGCTTCCAATGGTACCTTGCCAAGGTACAGCAGTCCAGTCTATTCCAGTGGCTAGCGTTAAAACAAAAGGTAACTTCGCCATCTGAAACAGCACAACGTTACGTTCAGAGAAACCTTCGACGGTATCATCCGGCGCGGGGAACAATGTTCCAAACGGAAGAGGCTTGTCGATATTATGTGCCAGCTGTGATGCATCAGTTATTGTAACCGACTTCTAATCGTATTCACAAACCTTGTTTGGAGTATTCGACAGCCGCCGAGCAGCTTTGGACTCTGTAAAGAGGAAGGGCATGGTGGGAACTCCGAGGACCCTCGCAAAGACGCGTTACGCTGCGTAGGTTTTTGAATTTGAAAACAGTGTTCTTCTTTCAGTTCCACGAAAAGATGCACTCAGGGCTTTATGGGTTTTTGTTTCCTAACAAACCAGATGCTCATTGGTTAGATTGCCTCATTCTGGAAACCTATGACGCAGAGTTCCAATAGTGGGGAAACTTCCACCACACAACAAGCACTTGTTAGGCGGCGGAATCACCCGAACTGTATGTCCACTCATGTTCGTCCTTTCACGAAGGCACTTGCCTGCAGTTGCCCGATAAGTTTGTTGACTCGTTAAAAGAAGTATTTCCACCATCTTACGGTATCAGCCGCGTATCGACAACAACCGCGAGACTCTACTAGGCTCGACCATGTTCAAATCCTCAAATCTCCGCATATATTGGTCCCTAAAGAACCATATCGAACAAGTCAGTTAAGTCCCGCACGATCCGCCGGGACGTGGTTCGGACGGTGATCATTAATAGATGGTGACCTAAGAGAAATCGTAGTGAGTTTTCAAATTAGGGTCAGGCGATTATCAGCCCCCCTGTCAGATTGGCAGCGGCTATCAAGTGCATCACTTGTGGCAGTGGTGGGTGGAGTGTAAGCGTGCTCAGGGAGGGTATTATATGATATGATAAAATGATTGAGCCTGCACGCGCACGAACGTAGAACTCGCACGGAGAATTCGCCAGAACGAAGAGCAGAGAGGATCACCTCCCGCTGGAATTCCTTTCCTCCGACACATCAAGTAGTGGGATTTAGTGCTCGCGCAGTATGCCGACCGTCTGTGGATTGTTAACCTTGGAATCAGACGGTTGGGGGAATTCGGGAATTGCTGGATTCCCAAACGTCTGGTTCCGAGACTAAGCGTAGAAAGGAGTACTCCGATGTTCTATTTTCATCGTCCACTCCCCAAAATTACCAGCTGCTGGAACATACGTCAACGAGCTCCTTGACATGATAGACAATCATCTTACTGATATTTCCTGTGACGATGGGCTCAGGATGCCGTTCTTAGTGTTATACTGATTGCCATCAATGTCATCGTATGTCGCGAAGTTAGTGAGCGCTCCCACAGCTCTGGTGAAATGACACGACGAACACACAGTAATTGATCTGGAAGACACATGGTGATATCTGTTACTTCATCCCAGGAAAACAAGGGAAAGAATGTGTCTGTGATCCCTGAACTTCAAACTCGATTCTGGGCTTAGAACAGCCATCCCGCAAAATCAATGGAATACGAGCTGTACCTGTGGTGAGAGTTTAGCCCGTTCGCGTGTAGTGTGTAACTCGTGTTCTCATGTCGTGGATTGCATCCTGTCGCTTCGGAGGAACGTGTATGCACACGAGGAGATTTGGTAGGGCCTTCCGTAAGGCAACTAATGATGAGTAGCTTGTCCAAGCAGCGCCTAGATAAACCACTGACCGAAAACTTTACTCCGACGCCACCGCAAAAATCTCTCTTCCCAGAATCATTAGGGCGCAAGTCCGCTGGAAGCACAGCAGCTCTGTCGGTATTTCCGCGTGTCATACTTAGCCTTAGATCAAATAAAACAATCTGGCTGATCGTGTGAAATATACTTAGCAGTGAGTTTTCCTGAGTCTCATATGTCATCATGGGGTATGTACATACTTCGATACGCAGACCGGGGGTCACGCATGAGGAGCAAGTAAGGACAAGAGGACTCAAAACACACATGCCAAGCTCCGCAGGCAAGGCTGTTGGGTACCCGAGGGTACCCGGAACTACTGCATAAGAATGATTGAAGCTGAAGGGGACGGAAGCAAAGTCGTGCTAATCGTCGGACGAAAGATCATTAGAGTACGACAATTACTTCCGAACCCGACGCGATTTGGAATATGCAGCGGAGAACTTTCGAGGCGGCCACCTCGAGCACCGCCGATACACCAGACAAAGGCAAGTCAACGTTTGGCAAAAAAGTGGGAATCGTAGGGCGCTGGACGCACGTCATCCGGGTATTAACTAGGGACCTTGTGCTGGCACCAGCGTAAATCGGAAAGCCCTTGGGCCTTTGCGCCGAGCTCATTTGGCAACGAATGCAGGAGATTTGATTAGGCACGAGGTAGCACGACGTCCGCACGATACGGTCGATAGCATACAGATAGAAGCCCGGTCTTCCGCTCGACACTGCCGACAGTCGGAAAACGACAAGGAAGTTCAGTAGTATTAGTCTCTGCCACCACGGGTTGCTCGACTTTGGCGTTGTGGTCAACTTGGCGAATGTCACCATTAGTGATGCCGGTTAAATAGGAGGTCTTGAACGACTTAGGCATTACATTTGTGTAAATTGTCTGATAAAAACGGCTGACCGGGTCGTCGTAATTCCGAGGGTTGGAAAAGGCGAACTCAGAAAACGAGGCAGACCACACAAACTAAGCTCTAGCGAACTTGCTAGCGGTAAATTACGGACTCCTGACAGCGTCGTGAAGCATAATATTGGGCCCCAAGCGCAAACCTGGAATACTTGCTCCAGAAGATGGGTTCTGAACGTACCCGAACACTACCGTCTTTCCTGTCTTCGTACACACCAGCAGAAAAAGGTGATCGATCGATTTCAAGGGTTGCGTAAACATGATCTAAACATCCAATGTATGGACCTCAGTTTTATGCGCGTCGATCTTGGGGTCCATACAGCCTGCCACACCCCCGGCCGCATCATATCATCGCTCTTTGGTAATCCGCCCGGTGAACCGGACGTTGAAGGTACCAGAGCGCGATTGTATGACGTGTCACTTCTAGATGAGTGTTGAAGCTTGACGGCCGACGGAACCCGTCAAGCGCCAAAATGAAAGGTGGCAGGTAAATTTTCTGAGACATGTTGACCTATTTGCTTCGTATTGGTGCAGGAGAGTCCAGGTACATTTCTACTCAGGACGATATCATCGAAGCTTTGTGGCTGTTGCGGTGGGTGATACGGTCGCTAGCGTCCAGAAGTGTCCAGGCAAGGATGGCGGACGCGGACACCGGGAGACAAGTACGGGATGTACTTATACGGACGCCTCGACGCCCCATCAGAGCCCATCAGCTCCACCTACCCCTCTGTGCCACCGAAGCTTGCGCCTACCGAGTCATCTAGGCGGAACAACGATCTTGCGGTGGCCTTCAGATGTGTAAATGCTGCGGATGGAACTTTACCCTACTTTACCATGCCCTCGATAACCTGGTGGGCTTAAGATGGCATGCAGAGCGTCACGCGGAGTTTTTACCGACCTACCATCTCCTGCCATCTGTTGAAAATTGTGAGTTGTCATTATGGACTTATTACCACCGAAAACGATTCTGACCATGTGCGCGGGGAAGGAGCCTCCAGGGCTCGATCAGGAACGGCAAGCGCAAAAATGTGAGAAGTAGTATGTAGCGAGGAAATGAGGAGATTCGGGCGCCCGACAGATCAGGTCGCTGAATGGTAACATATCACACCTCATGTACTAACTTGGGACTTGTCAGGGCTGGTCACAGGAACATCAGGCGACCCAATAATATCATTACGCGTCGGGGGAAATGTCAGCGCACACCAATCTATGTTATAAGAACATAGCCAGCGCCCCGCCTGCTTCCCCCGTTGTCGTGGTATGGGACATTGAGGTTTGCCTTCCTTTTGCCTCCAAGACTTCGTCGCATCCTCTCGTCCTCGCGCACTTCCCGCAGCTCCTTAGTAGTTTCCGAGGACATTCACTCGTTCTAATTTGATAGGCCTGCCTGAAACCGAAGAATTTCGTGGCTGCAAAGAAAATAGCACGCTCGCATTCCGAATTCCTCTTCGTACGTTCTTTCTACCTTCCTTTTACTCCGCACAAAACCTTTCTAATCTTTGATGCTGTTCGTCGATTAGTAGTACTAGGCCATCATCATCACCGAGTGCTGTCCTGGCCATCACGATACCCAATTTCGTGTCCCTGATCCAGAAACGGGAGATCGGTAGCTATGGTCACGATCATCGATGCCGTGCTGGGCGACGATGCCTCCAGAGCGGAAGGATATATTCGCGTCGCATCTATGGCCTTTGCATTTTATGAGTGAGTGTTAAATCATAGCTTTTTACGTTATCATGGAGGTGACGTCCATCCTCGTGTGATTCAAATCACTTGCAGTTATATAATTACCCTACCGATCGAATACCGTGTGTATCGCAGCCAGCGCAGTTTCTTTCGCATGAGGTATAGTAACGTCCCCGCCGTTTGTTAGCTCCCCATGAAAGTTGATCCTGCGCAGTCTTGCGTGTATTCTATTCATCCTGATTCGGTAGGTAATAAGTGAGCTGTCACTCAACCGGGTTTTGACAGAGATTATGACGGGACGCTCTTCTGCTCCAGATATACCAGTATTTTGGTCATGGTCACGAGCAACTATGGATTCTTTGCGACCTCCTTCACAGAGGAGTCGTGTCGGCGGTTTTACTTCGTACCTCCCATTTTCAAAGGTTTGCTGGCATCACGCTTAACTGACCGGCTCTGGTCCTGATATGTTTTTCCAGATTTGCAGGCTTCTGTTTCACAGGCAATCCTGGGAGTCAGGTGAACTTATTTCTCATAATTGCGTTGTTATGGCTGTACTCAAGACGTCTACCTCACAGGACATTTAACATCGCTGGGAGGAACAAACAGTTGGGCTTGTTCCTCCTTGTATACTTCTGTATCACAGTGGCAGGTAAGATCTGTGGCTCTAACTGTCCTTCGAGTCCAGGTGACTGATTAGTTATGGTAGCTCGAATGGTTCTTTGATTTATACCGTCGAACTTGTAAGTCCCAACGCTCGAGACTGATACTCTATCATTAACTCATCTAAGCTACATCTTTCTCAGCCCAGGTAGTCGGCGTAGGTCTTCTCGTTACACCACATTCAAATCTGACTTACGAACCTTACGGTTGGCATACAGGGAAAGTGGGTCGATCTCATTTATTTTCTGCTAACAAACTCAATGTGCTCTAATCCTCTCTCACCTGGTAGTTGCGTCTCGGGGGTCTCCGGTGCACATCCCCTGACGTGGGTGTTCTACCTTGTCGCGATGATTTACGACCTCATGGCGCTCGTGCTCTCGACCATCCACCTAGTTCGGTATAAGACGTATAGTGGAAAGTGAGTTTATTTTATTTTCTATACCTCTTTGATGAAATGATGCTGAATTCTGTTACATAGATTTTCGTTTTTGGTCCGTGTGTAAGTGCTGTTCGCGCCGTTCCTTGGGACAAGTTCAATTTTCTGCGGTGCATAGTATGATGTACGACGGACTGATCTTCCTTGTTGTGCTTACGGGTAAGTTACCAGCTGGCTACGAGAATGGCCGTGCGCGGCATTAACTGCTCCACCACAGCCGTCAATATATTAAACTTGATCCTTTACCGGCAACTGGACCTCACCACTCAGGTGAGCATTTCTTTCTAGGTTCTTAATGCGGAATTCGTAACTCCCACGATTTGGCAGTCTACGGGGTGAGTAGAGTGTTGTGTTACCACACAGAGATCGGTCGCTGACTTGTATGGACTTTATCAGAGTTTCGCTCGGATATGCCGTCGTTTGGATAATGAGTCAACGAATTCTCATTCATCTCCGGGGTGAGTATATACCAACTAAGGCTCCACCAAGTTGGGTATTAAATCGACAAAACTACTCGTAGAACTTGTAGGGGAGCGCTCGACATCCGGGGTCTCGCGAATCTCCAACGTTGTTGTGCACCCAGGCCGCAGTTTTGTGGTAGGTAGCCAGCACCACCAGCGCACGCCACCAACTCCGCTCCGTGCTACACACTCCTCCGGGTTGTCTCCTCTGGACCAAAAGGGCCTCACGTTGCACGACATATCAAACATCGATGATGTTGATTATAGCCGTCCACCCTCGTCGCCTGCTCATTTTCAGCATCATCACCCGTTTTCATCCTCCAATGACGTTATAGCACCCGACGACCGGGATTATTGTCATGTTACGGCTGGCAGGGACCAAACCAAGGCAGCTGGCCTCGACGTCCCAATTCGATTCCAACGAACGGTCATTGTTGATCCTCACCATTCCAGCAACGATACCGAGGATACTGAGGGAGCGTCGGAGATGCACTTGCCTTCACACGCCATATCCAGGGAAAATGCACTGCCGATGTGGAGTTAGGAATTAGTCTAATACACTTCGGAAGGTGTATGAAAATACTACATATATCTGTTCCAGATTATGCCGCACTCAATACTCTTGGTGAGGGCTGTGAATTCCATGGATATTGTATCATTACTGTACAGGGTGTATCTGTAGCCGTCGTCCGAGGTAGCCAGCATGGATTCCGCTTCAATCCGAGATAGTTCATACCCGTGGAATCCCAAGAAGGAAATGAAAGTGTCACACATAAAGCTCTTGCCGTGCCATTCGTTTAAGACGATGAACATACACATAAAAATGAATGAACAATTCCTAGTTCCGCCTGAACCTGCTGAAGAATCCCTCCTTGGGGCTGGTCGATGTGGAGGTTGCGTTAGCCATCCTTCTACGCCGGCGACCAAAGCAAACGGTACAGCCACCGAGAACAAGGAGGATCATCGAGGTGAATGTCAACCAGAAACCTGTGTAATGTTCGTCTTACAATTTGATGGCTTCGAGGAGGAAAATTATGTACTGACCAGGGCCGGTAATGGTACTTCCGCCGAAGCCGAGATTGCCCATTTGATCCTTGACATACGCAAAGAGAGCAACATCAATGATGAAGGCAATGAACGCCAGGAGAGCAGCAAGAAATCCGACAAGGGACGCAAAAAGAGTGACAGTGATATGCTGGGAGAGGGCGAGCAGCAACGCGATGAACGCTACTCCCGCCGCTAGATCACGGGGTACAAATCAGATGAGGTCATAGAAGGGCGGATACACAAACGCACCGACAGGATGCACGGCAAGGCCGCGGGTCCACGATGAACCAATCGTCACCGAATTGTTGGTAGCGTTGACAACGACGGAGTAGCCGTGACCTTGCGGTTGCAACAAGCTGAACAAGGGAACCGAAGACTATGCCAAATCAAAAGGAGTTACCTGTAGTGCTGCAAACTCTGTTTCCATTGGTGAGGTCGTAGCAGTATGCCCTGATCGCAAAAATGAGCTCCTCAGTCCAACAGTTAAGAAGAGAGAATGCATACCATATACCGAACTACCGCATGAGAAAAACACGCCGCCATAAGGACAAGTGAGGGGGTGAAACAAGAGAGTACTCACTCTGAGCTGGCTGATCGTGTCGTTTGCAGCAGACAATTCAGTGCTTCCATCTGCATGGACACGGGTGATATCCATAGCAGTCAGGTAGGGAAGAGATACGGAAACGATGAATAGGAGGACGAAAGCTGCGAAGAAAAAGAACACTGCGGGAATACAAAAAGCGCGCCCCATGTTCACCAGCGGGATCGACTATCTGCTACGGTAACAGTCAACTGGTGAGCGTTCGAGGACGAGAGATGTCGACGAAGGACGGGAGACGAAGAACGAGGACCGTTGCAGGCAAAGCCTTGTGACGCCACCTTCCAAATAGGGAATGACAAGCCTGGCAGATATACACATTACGTCATAATTCGCAGATACCACTAGCACTACCTCACCACTAGTCCTTGGTCTGACCCTCAGAATTGCGAAGACAATTGTCTGACTGCGTGCTGCCGTACCTGCACCATCTTTGAAACCACTAGTATATGTGTAAGTGACCTGCTGCGATAAATATATTATGGTATATAAATAGCACTTACAGTGGTGTCGACGCGATGACATAAGGCGTGTCGAGGCCTTCACGAAAACTAACAACAGAGTGAAGAGAAACCATAACCACGATCTCAACAGGACGCCCGTCGACGCGGCAGGTATATGCACTCGTTGAAATCCAATAAGCCCGACTGGCACAACAAATAGAATGCGGACTCGTGCCAGTCCAACATACAAGATTGGCACAGCACTGTCAGTAACATAAAGCAATATTGCCTCCGGTCGCACTCATGGCGATCCTTTGGGAAATTATGCGCAGGCTGTACCCACGCCGGGGAACCCCTGTCGGTCTCTATCGGCTTGGCCTACGATACATAAAAGCCAAAGGACTTGCCAAAGCACGTTCACACTGTTTTATTCGGTTATTTAAGTCGGGGAATGATGTCACAGTCGGAAGTATATAATGGTGCTAATTGGGGGCCCGGTTTTGCTGGCAAGTATCGTTGCTCTACCCAACCTTCGCTGACAGTGTCGTTCACAGGATTTGCAGTTGGGCTAGCGTGCGTTCGCTACATGACGTTGCAGTTGGCCAGACGGTTACCCGTTTTCTAGTTTGTATGGTGTATCAGCATCCCAATGCCTATTCTACATCGTGGCGTTCCCGAAGGACAAGCGTATTATCAAAAGTGCAGTACGTTGTCCCCATCTATTCCTGCCGTCTGTCAGCTGACCCTTCAAAGGTCTTCCTTGTCTTGTATGTCGCGTCATTTATACGTCTTGTACCTGCGACATGAGCTCTCGACCCACAGTTTTCTGGACAGCGTCAATACCCTCTCATTTTTATGCTTCTACTTTCGATTGTTGATAATTTATCGATGGAACACGGCATATCCTCCCACGAGCGAGATGACCTGGTACGTCCGCCTTATTACCGCGTTGTCTCGTACGTGATACAATCCATTCAGCTTTGACTGTAAGTAGCAACCCTCTAGAACTGTAATGCTGTTAGCAATGTTGCTGAAAGTGTCTTTAATTTCCCAGATTGCCTTTGCTACAAATGTAAGGCGATATAATCACTTAATTCTCACTCTGCTAATCGGAGTCGTCTTCAGTCCTGTATCGCGTTCTTTGTCCAATGGTTTGATATATGTCCTTCACCCCTTGTACTATTCTCAATACCGCGCAATAGCTTCTATGCCCACAGGGTTTGGATAAGTAAGAGGTGCCTCACTTTTCTTTCGCGAATATCTTTAGACTTGGACTTTCCAGTTGGAGATCGGAATAAGCTGTTGACGTGTGTAGTGGTAGTGTCATTCATTCGTCGCGCTTCAGAGATGATGATATGGATATTTTCTCGCTGAAAAGCTCTTCGCTGCATTGACACAATTGGGTGAGCCGCACCGTCCAGTATACTGCTCCCTTTTTATTGATCAGATCAGTATTTGGTAGCCGTATGTGACTTACATGCTTCTTTTCGCATCAATTCATTGACCCCTGCCCCCGAACATTTAGTAACTAGTGGAAGACGCGTAAGTTGACAGCCGCGAGAATTCCGTCTGCTTATGCTCGGGATCGGCAGTTATGAAAGTGACAACGTCGCTACCTTCTTTAGCAATCCGGCGGTGTGTAACGATTCATTTGAATTATGATATTTCTGCATGCCATGGAATAGGACTCGGCAGTCAATGCCCTGGCAAGTGCAGTATGCGATGCCATCATCACAGCAAGCGTATATTTCTGTCTCCGTCGGCCGGGAGCTGGTCTTGGTCCGATGTATGTATCACAATGACATTAACTCCTGATCGTCGCTCATCCCTTACCAGGAGGGAAAACCCTATTCAAAAATTTAATTTGGTCTTCGTTCAGATGGGTTTGATCACATTGTGAGTGCTGCCTTCTACCGTTGTGGAAACGGCTGATATTCCCACTTTTATCCCGGATGCATGCGGTCAGCACGAGTGCCCTTACAACGTCTGTACTTGTGAGTTGTCTCGTGTGTGGTCGTAACCACGGCGACCATTACTGAACTCTACGAAGTATTATGAGAGTGATCTGATTGGACAATACTTCACTGCCGCGCCAGTTTCAATGCTGGGTAAAAGTTTGTATTCCTTGTTCGTGTATTTGTTTTCAGTTGACTTTCCCTATATCAACAGCGTATTCGAACTCCATGTTAGCTGTGTGAGCATACTATTTCGTCTCGCCAAATTATGACCTCACATTAGCCATTCTGCTTTCCCCATTCGTGTAACCACAAAAGGCTGAATGCAAGGAAGCCTATCCGTGATCGGCAACAATTTGTTCCGGCGTCTCCATCGCAGCTTCCTACCCTACAAACTAATCATTGACCCCCCCAACCTTGTACTGCACATACCTCCGATCTGTTTCCCCAGCCAATGGTCATTCTTCCTGAGTTCAAAGTGACGTGGGACTTCCTGGACCTGTTTCGGACTCGTACATTTAGTAAAACGAACTTCGTGTGTTTTACATGCTTTGTCGAAGAGAGATAGGTTTAGCATGCTTCTGACCATCTCCTTGTCGCCAACCGGTCTCCTGTCGAGTTGTGCGCGGATGACTATCATACAGAGGGTTACAAGGAGTGGCCCCCGAATTCAAATGGTGGATTTTTTGCGTACACGTGGCATTGTACACCATTTCCAACAGGATAGGAAGATATGAGGATTGTAAAAGCCACTGCAGAGCCAAACCAGCCAATCCTCGATGTCGTGCAACCATGACAACACCCTACAATCGATACAGGAGACAACGTGGTATCTACCATTACACGGCGGAAAGTAGGTTGGAATGTTGTCGTGATTATCCCCGCTCGCTCTTGGCTTCGCGAGACGTATCCTACACCAGCGGAACGTGAGCGCAGTAGTGTCCACATTCACGAGAACTTCGAAGTACGTATTGTGATGGAGGAGACTCTCAGTGTCCTTGTCCTTTCCTCTTCATTCATGTTCTTCCAATTCTCAAGTCTTGACGACCTCTGCGATTGCCGACGTCGCAAGTGGCCATAGGTAACGTTCGATGACATTGTTCAATACGTCTACTACGGAAAACGTCGGATTTTGGGATTGAGCTCGATATTGCTGGCCTAGATCGTCGTTCCATCGGTAGGTCCCGCCGGTCCTGCAACCATTTATTTCAATGCTACCATATGTAGCACAGTACCCGTTCTCCTCTGGTATGGTGTATGACTACCCTCCGAGTCGTCTCCAAGTTTGTATCGGGTCAGGGTAAATCTGCATCCATAGTCGCCATATGACAGCCCGTACTTGCCAACGATCAAATCGATATCTGCTCATGATCCTATCCCAGAGCTCCCTTGCATCTACGACAGCACGGGCCTCGTAGCCAGTAAGTATCCACCGCTCACTTTGCTTTTAATCTTATATGTCAATCAATAGAACGATTTCTTCATCGTCGAACGCGCTCACCGGTTGAGGCTATACGTCTCGCAAGACGGAGGGGTGAGCCGATGTCTTAGCATTGCAGGGACATAGGCTCGTATTTGGGTCGTGATGTCCGCTCATTGCGACCTAGATCCGAAAGTGAAGGGCTGCGGGGCGGAATCCCTGAAAGGCGCTGCGAGCAGGATCATGGAATTGACGTGAACATCGAGGCTGCGCAACTGATATGCCTTGTGAGCAAGTCCGACCTGTTGTTCACTCTAATAATGTTTTTAGCATCATCTGAGTTGATGCAGAGCGTGCCATCTCAGTACTAGTCTGGTGACCAGACACATCCACATCTGTGAGGTAAGTCGTGTCCGGTTACAAGACTACCACTTCAGGCACTCGTCTCCAGCACCGGATGACCTTCAAAGTACAACTTGGAGTCTCCATGGGAGCTTGACTTGGTGAGATACATCACTACTATCTAGCGCTAGCTCTACAGCAGCAATCACCAAAAACAAGAAGTTCAAAGGGAAAGGCCAGGCAGAGCCCATCGAGATCGGGAATTACTAACATAACTAGTGTATTTATTACACCGTCTTGTACCCGGCTGACTACACCCCGCACAATCTGGTATCCACGGAACTAGCCGCGGGTCAAGTAAGGCTATGGATGAAGGCCTGCCCTCTCATGAACCCACGGGTATCCCCATGGCTTGGTACAAGGAGCAAAAACTTGAAGGCCAGCTTCACTTCTGTCATTTAACAATCAGCGTATGCATGGCTCATCCTTATCAAATCATAAAACATCATACATGCGTCCTCGGTTCCGTCTATTTTCAAACACGCATCTCCTTGTGTATGCCCTCTAAAATCCAAATTCTCATGGCATACGCCCCACAGATCCTCCTCACATAAGCCAACAATATCAATATCCTTTCACTGAGCCCTCGTTGAGTTTTGACGTACCTGTCCACGCTTCATGGTATCGTCGAGCACTCACGAATAGTGTTTGCCAGAGTTCCACGTGCCCGACCGGACTACCTCACAATAGACATAGGCGCCCTATCTCGGAGGTGTTACGGACGGACCGCAAACGGATGACATCGGGGTTGGTGGTAAGGCCTGTTTGCAACCCAAATACACCTATTGTAATGTTAGAGGGTTTCTGAAGGTGTACCTGCACTTGAGTGGCGGTCGTGCAGGAAGTCGGTGGTGGCCGCTTCGAGAGTGCTAACCATAACTGCCCGTGTACAGACGGTGAGGGCCTAAACTAAGCCAGGCCCGAAAAATGCCCCAGCCGCTGCATGACGGCAGAAGTCATGATTTAGAAATTCGCCACGTAAAGATATGATTATGGGATGGTAAACTCCAAATAATTCCGCGAAATGTTTAGCGTGGAGATGCGCGACTTAGACTTTCGAATGCGCGTTTTGGACCGTTGACTGTGTAATTTAAACTGTTGAAGGCACGTTTTAGACTGTAGAATATGTATGCATTTCGAATACTGTTGCATGCGTGTTCAGAATCTGTTGGACACGTCAATTAGGGCGCATGTGTTTACAAATTTTCACAACGCTCAAACTCGGAATTAATCAAATAAATTTAGGCTGCCCATGTCAACACAGAAGAATCTGCAATGCGCGAGGTGCGTGGCTTTAAAAATCTGCCCGTCAGCGCTTCAGCTTCCGCGTGATCGCGTGCTCCCAGAGTATACGTAATAACTCGTAATCCCTGTATAGTCTATAAAATGCCGTTCATTAGGGGCAAAATACAATATTGTGCCTACGTCGCCAAATCCGCATTTCTCAGAGGTGGGAGACTGGTGGAGGCTGCCCCAAGCTGCCTGCCTCCAAAAAATGCCTCACGGCCGATTCGGTAAATTCGGAAAGATCGAGTGCCCCGCAAATACCAATATCTACAGGGGTATGATACATATAAAAGTTGGTCGTCAGCACAACAGCTTCATTGGGCATTTGTTCATTACCCACTCAACCGATATTATCAGCACCATGCAATCTGTATGTAGCCCCGGCATCAACCAGCTTTGTGCGTGGACTTTTACTCACTGGCCCCCGTCTTGCAGGTCAACGCTGTTCTTGTCAACAACCACTGTGGAATGAGTGGTTGCACGTGCGGCGAGAGGTAAAGCACACTGAGGCTTACATCTCACAGAAATAGGCTTTCTGAGGATATTTCACTCGATACAGCTGCGAGTGCAATCCCGAAACGTGCAAGTGCTAAATGCCGTCGTCCGTTCCATCGTCGAATGTGACTGATTGCTGGAGATGTGACCAAGTTGTTTCTCGAATCCACCTCATATGGGTAGTTCTGTGATGATGTAGGGGATGTGTCATTGTTTGGATGTCGGAAAATGTGGAGATTATATGTAGTTTCAGCCGTCTAGTGTTTTGAGTGAGAGTGCGGACAACGACTGGCGTGTTCAGGGGGCATTAATATCATATCATCGACACTTGGTTCAACAAAGTCTACTGAGAGGGGAACTCGCTTCGGCGAGGGGGGAGCCCTCCCTCAACGCTCTGAAATGGAACTCAGGTGATGGGAATGTGGTAGGAGGACCCACAGCCGCACAAGGATGCTGTTCGGCGCTTTGAACTTGAGCTTGAAGGGGTTGGCCAAGTTAGTATCTCAGGCATGATGCAGGCGATGATCAACAAAATCCGGCATTCCGGCACGAGGAGAATTTCAAATATTGACCGTGCAAAAGCAACACGCAGCGAAATTTAATATTACACCAGTGTGACCCCAATAGTACTCATGATACGCCCGGGACTCTACAGTTTCTCAAATGCGAACATGACGTGTCTAAATGCCCACACAAAATGTCCAAATTGCACACTTTAACATGTCGAAAACGCGATTCAATTGTCTAAATCGCGCATTTCCACAATAAACATTTCGCGGAATTATTTGGGGTTTACCGTTCCATATATGATTGTTCTCACCTGTCGTGAGTGCCTAAGTGACTGAAGGGCGTAAAGGCGTCAATAAGACTGGTCCGCGTAGAACGCCTTCTTGAACTCGGCTATGACTGCGTGCCGCCTTACAGCCTGATATTCCCGATTAGATTGATGCACTCGTGCGGACCCTACTGCTGGACAACTTTGCGCAGATGCGCAAACTATGTCGACCTGGCGAGGTCACCTCGTGTAACGCAATTCGCTCCAGCAGCGCCTGATGCAGGAACTGTCTTAGTTCCACGATGCCTGCTTGCATCACTCCTTCGCAATTCTTTTCGTACTCCGGTGTGCTCCACATATAGTCGCGCAGATCGCCACTGCCTTGACACTTTCGTGTCCAGAACGTGCCACAACCATCCTCTCCTATGTAATGCCTGCGTCGTTCGAGCAGATGGAAAGACCATATTTTCCTTCGGGGATTGGGGATGTAAGTGCGTAAACACTCCCCTTACTCTCAAATTCTTCTCGTGGACCGTTTGAATCATTATTATCTGTACTGTCAGGAATCGTTCACGGTATTGTTGTATTTTCAGTGATATGTCGCAGCCAAGCCAATAAATATATCAAACTCACGCACGGCATCTGATTTTTCTCGAAGCCAAGATGAAGCTGAGGGCCATCGGCGAGCGAATAGGCATCGAAAGCCACACTGTTGGGGTGCAGAGGCTGTCGAGGCGCAAGGTACGATTCTGTACATCAGAGATCACGCCATCGCTAGGCACGAGTGAGAACCGTCCCAGTGAGACATCACTAACTCGACGACCGTTGCGACAAGTCCGAAATCGTTCCGACGCCAGAACGCGCGAGTCTTATACGAGGGCTAATAGCCCTGGGGCCGCTTGATTGGACCTCACTGGGAGAATGCGTGCGGTTGTTAGACACTCAGGCTCAAGGATTGTGCTTGAGGAGCGAGATCACATCGAACTACAACCGCCCCCATGACCTTCCTTCCGGAACGTCGAATATGTAGTAATGTTCATGGGGATCATTCATGGTAGTAACCTGAAGAACATAATCGTTTGCACTTCTTGCTTGGGCGAGCGCAAACACATACCTCTGATACGAAGTGGAGACCCGAGAGAGACGAGAGCTGGAGATGGCCCCAAAGCCTAATGAAACCCGCGATTTCGCTCGACGCCTCCTCTGACGTGGTGTGTGCATTGGTTTTTGCGCTGTTCATCGTTTTTGTGTCCTTGCGATGGTCTTCTCGTATAGCTGTAGCTATTGATACTTTCGCGAGCGTCCGAGGCGACACTCGCAGCGCCAGACCCAGAACCTAGTATGGTATGACAAGTGACGCCACTGGCATTTGCAGTGGCTGTGGGCACCTGGACTTGGCGCGGAGAATGAACACGTACATGTCTTGAAGCACTGCATTGCAGCCAGGGTGGCTTCGTCTTCCACTTGATTCTCATTCGACTCTCTCGAAATCCTAGCACCCATCACTCGCCAAATGGGTCTTTTCGATTTTTTTTTGCAAAAGCGTAGAATGAGTATTTTGCCGGAGGATATCGTAGTGTTGTGAGGGCTGCATTGTCATCTCTGATGGTGCAGTAACATTGAGCTTGCAACTAGCATTATAGGTCCTTCAGGCTCCGGGAAGAGCTGGGTAATATTAGCCTGCGCTATTGCTTATCCTGGATTAAAATCTATGATGCACTCTAGTTTTTGAGCACCCTGTTGCAAAATCCAAACGTTCACGCCCTCGTTAAGGTCAGCGGAGAACACAAGTCTAGTGAGGTCCATGTGGTAAGGTGCCGTTTTGAAGGGATACCGAACGACATCCTCCTCGTGGACACTCCGTCGTTTTACGTTGATGATGGTTCGGATGCAGAGGCAACTTTGAAAAGATGGATGGATTCCAAGTAAGACATGGTGTTTTATTCCGTGTGGTGAATAACCTATCTGTCCAGCGATATGAAGAAGAGCTGGGCAGTTGGAATTCTGTATATGCATAACATTGCATTGAACCCCTACGACGATAATCTTCGGTTGTTAAAGCACATCGGGGCATTCCGACGTACGTGCCGGAGAGATCTCTCTCACAACACCGTTTACGTCGTCCCGAGTGTGGCTTCGGAGGTAAGGCTCTCTTCTGAGAGGATTGAAGCATCCATGTCACGACTGCAACGTGAGACGGTGGACGGAGGTACATTAATGTGTACGACATTGTTTGACGGGAAATCAGAGATCGCGTGGGACATCATGCAGGAACTATTTAATAATCTGGAGCCCTGCACTCGGGTATAGACGAGACCAGGAGATCAGGAAGGTTCCAGAGAGACAGGTGCAAGTCATAGCTTTCGATGTTTCATGCCTTCCAGAGTTTGTGTACATGGCATAAATGTTTACTCCCATGTCACTAGTACCTGTATTTCACTGTCAATGATATGCTACCTCGTGTACACAAGTTCTTAGTACACAATCTCCCTGCTTTACAAGCCTTGTTCTCTGTTTCCCTGTTCTTTTTTGCTTCCGTCGATTTTGCAACTGTTTGTGTTGTAACTTCAGCGCTCATGGTGCGTTGAACCTTGATCAGTAGTCCCATGTCAAATGGTTTGCCTACCTATCGACGACAACTCACTTCGAGGAGTCCACGAACGGATAGTCTCTCCTAGGCAAGCCAAAGATGCGACGGAAGAAATACCAATACACTATAAAAAGTAAAATCACTAAAAAACAGTGTCACAGACACTGATGTGGACAAAGTCAGTGTCTGTGACGCTGAAGTCAGGGACGCGTCTTTTCAGTGTCATCGGTCGGACAATGATTTTATGGTTGCTGCAATTTGTGCACTTGAGGCGTGCTCAATTGCAGTTGTCGTCCAAAAAGTCGTCGAGTTTGTCAAACTTATATTGAGGTTTCTGTCACTCGAAGCGAGACAGGCAGGACTATGCGAGTGCAGGTGAGGTCATGCTGGGTCCAGCCGCTCTGAATCCCATTTAGGCAAGAACACTGATGTGGCAATGCTTATCGACGAAGACTCGAGCGCTGAAGCGCTGAAGGCCTATCTCAACATTCAATGCTCACCACCTGCCGTGCGCGGGGTGACTACGACAACAGGACGCCAGTGACCTGCTTGCGTTGTATTCTGCACATGCATGCATGCTGGCAGAGTCAAGGCGAGAACGAGCTCAAATTCAGCAAGATCTCGAAGGCAGACAAGATGGCAAGTCGTAAGAAAATGATCTACGAGTCTCACCTCTTTTTGAGGCTGAACGTGCTTGCTGGCTGCCTGTTTTCAGCTGATGTTATAGCATCACGAGAATAGAGTTGCTGGAAGCTGTGTGCTGGAGTGAGACTAAGAGCTGGAGTATCACATTCTAAGTAGAAGTTGTAGTCCATCTGTTGTTCCTAGTACGAATTTCACTACAGAGCCGGAGTCCAGTAGCTTGTCACAGAGGCATCGGAGACTAGCTCCCCACTTGCCTAATTGGTCATTCCCATGCTGGAGCAGCCAGAGACAGCATTACCTCACATGCACTAGCCCTGCCTGTCTCGCTTCGAGTGACAGAAACCTCAATATAAGTTTGACAGACCCGACGACATTTTGGACAACTGCAATTGAGCACGCCTTTGGTTTTCAATGTCAGTCACAAAAAATCAGCGTCCCTATTACTAGCTAGGAATTATGAATTCAAACCTGATTAGTCGGAGTTTGAATTCGAGTATGTTGTCGGAGATGGAAACGGAGTTCGAATATTGGTAGGGGGCTGGTCCACCTGGAGTTCATTGCGAGTCAGATTGTGAACAATGAGGCTGTCGGAGTTAGAAGCGGGATTCCAAATTTAGGCTGGGTGGCTAAGTAGATAAAGATGCACCTCTAATTGCAAGCACTGGTGGTGCTTAAGTTTGAGACTGAGCCAGGCCACTTAAAAAAAGTTGGTGAGTGTAAACTCCTGGTGTGATGTTGAAGCTGCTTACATAATTACCTTAGAGCGTACCATTCCAGGATGCATAGCAGTCCTGGTCTGTTTTCATCTTCTGTCACAGATGGTCATACTGGGCTGTGGTCCATGATAGCTGTGTATGAAGTTGAATTGACTTTTTGGAACATATTTGATTTCTTTATTTCAAAGAAAAAAAAATGGAAAGGCAATTGTGTTACAAGTTGGTGATGTCATTTAAGATTTCGTTTCAGTTACTTCCTGTGCTAGGGGTTTCCATGCTTCTTTCCCTGATGATCATGCTGCTTCAATAGTCCTCTGTGGTTATGCTGACTGTTGATGCACATGCCAATCAGGATGGTGTGTCTTTATCTTATGCTACTCTGTGGGAGAAGTTTGTTTTCATTTGCTTACAATGGCATAAACCATCTGCCCTATCATGGTGATAATGAGATGATGATCACCATTCCCACCTTATTGAAGGAGTTCATTGAACAGTTTCAGTTTTTGTCTCATGTTGATTTGTTGGGCATCTGTGATCGGCATCAGATTGTTATTTCATCTGCTGTACCTGTCCAGGCATTGTGCAATGCTCTTCATACCAACCATTGTTGTCTCTCACAAAATAATGGATCAGTTTTACTTCCAGCAACACTAGATCTCTCTTTTTTAAATCTGTTGCTGGATAAAGGTCCATCTTGCTTTTGGCACAGAAGACTTTGCACACATCATAAATGGAGGAAAACAAAGATGTCTTGGAATTTGATATTGTTAGAGGAGGAAAAACAAGACAAGGTGAGGTACCTGAAGTTGGGATGCATGGTATCTCCATGCTTCAAGCTTTGCCATCAGGAAGCACATATGATACAGGCAGGTGTGTTGGCAGACACTAGGAAAGATTGTTAACAACAAAGGTGAGAAAGGAAATGTTAAAGAGATAGTACAGACCTAAAGGAGGCCAAGAAAAACTGGAAAGTAGCTGAAGAGCCTGGTTACATAAATTTTTGGATACTGGAACAATGGTCACAGAACATTGATGATCTGGATAACCATTGCATAAAAACCACATAGCAGAAATGTGGCCAACCATCCATATGAGCAAAGGCTCACTGGAAACAGGATCACATAATCTTGCTGTGATCTGAGTAAGGATCATTCTGACCCCATGTAGTGTTGGGTGGGAGAGTTGCAAGGGAATATATGTTAGACCAATGATTTTCAAATGTCATTATTTTTTCAAGATGACTGCAATGCAAAAATGCAAAACATAAGATGTCTGTTGGAAAGACATAGGATGTATGTATTTACCCCTTCAGTGTGTTTGCATAACCATTGATTTTGTTGTTGTCCATGGTAGGCAATGATGGTCCCTTGATAACACTCTTTATGGTGACCACATCCAATGGAGACACCTTATCTTTTCTATTTTTTGGGGAAAAAAGGCATTCAGAGATGGGAGAAATTGCTGCAGAAGACATGTCAGTAGGTTTGGGATGAGACTCAGTTAACATAGCAGCAGATGATCTGGAGGAGTCATCTTGCCTTCTTTTGAGGGGAGGGGGGAGGTGTTGGAGCATACTGCTGTTCTGTACAGTGAGCACTGCTTACATAATATTTCCATACAATTTAGCCACTTCATTTTTCCTTGTACCTCAGACTTTGTCCTACTTTGAAGACTGAGGTAATGTTCCTTACTGGTATTATACCCTACTTTTACTTACCAGCTTGAGTAGTTTTCACACTCTGGGTTGGTTAATAATATAGACTTTGTCCTACTTCAAAGACTGAGTTTTCACACTCTAGTTTTCCCTGCAACCTTGGTCCCTTCTCAAAAGGAGGTGTGCATGGTCAGAAGTTTGAACTGCAGTTTAACAGATGGCAGATATACTGCATTTGCTTTGGAGGAGATGATGATACTTCCCTGTGGATGGAGTGGTCACATTTAGGTGGCATTCAGAAATTGTGTTGCTGAAAGCTGGTCAGGGGCCCTAAAGAGGCTCAGGAAGGGGTTATACATAAAGTGAAAATTTATGGAGGAGAGTAAGAAATGACATTTATTGGTGGTCATGATCTTGACAATGAATCATGGTGTGAAATATAGCCTGGCAAGGTTTTCAAAATTTGACATACATTCATTATCATAATCTACTTTGCATCTTTAAACCCCTTTCACTTTCCTGATTTCACTGTGGAGATTTGCTGATACAGAACACAGAGTATGGGTTTGTAAAGGATCACTTCCTTATGAAGGGACACCATGTAGGAGGAGTCCAGGGTTTCAAAATACTTCATTGCAAGCATAGACAGTGGTAGATGGGACATGTACATTTTACAACAGAATTCACAACATCACCTACTGCAGATGGGAAGATTCAAGCAGACATCATCATAGCAAATCATGTAGCTTTTATAATCTGAACATCATTATCTTTTGCTCAAATGCTCATTGCTGTGCTTTGTAATCAATGACCCAAAATACATCTGTGCAAAGTTATTCAACTTGTGACTTTTTGGTGGGATGTGATTTGAGAGGTGATGCATTGTTATTCATGTTTTCTATGGAAGTTCTGGTTCACATGCATTTAATAGACAGAGAGGACTGAAGTTCAATTCCATTTCACTTTCATTTAATAGCAGTGGACAGCTGTTGATGTGTTAATGAAGGAGATGGTGAGATAGAACAAATTGCATTACAGAGGGATTGCTGGCAGGAAGTAAATGGATGATATCCTTAAAGGAGAGATATGATTTCAGCAGTGTATGACTGACATTGTCTCATGCGATGACAAGGTTGAATTCAGTGTTGACTTCAATGAAACCTCCATGATTTAGACAATCTTCAGATAACAAGGAAAGCTGTCCATGTTCATCCATGTGAAATAAAGTGCCTTCATCATTGGCAGTTTGGATGTTATTTGGATGGGATGGTTGACCATCGAGAGACATACTGGTTGCCATCATAGTCAACATTAAAGACATTGCCCCATTGGTCAAAATCCAATGCTGCAGAAATAGATGATTCAAATTGTAACAACAGTCAAGAGGCATCTGCAGGCATTTACTTGCAAAGCAGCCCACAAGATTGAGGGAATCAAGCTGGTTTTTCCAGGTGGAATTGTAAATACTTCCTCCACAGGACAAGACCAACTTTTCAGTGGCCTGTCTGTTGCCATGATCAATGCTGACAGAGGAGTCAGCAAAAATGTCCATGATGTTGTTGTAAAAGATTACCATCTCCATTTACCCTGCTGTCACACACCAAAGGTGTTTGGTGAGGTGGACATGGATGCAGCTGATGAATGGAGATGAAGACCATAGCCCTCATATGAAGAAGGACAGCCAGAAATGTTGGCAGTCATTCCTTGCACAAGAACAAGTCATCAATGCCAAAGAAAAAGGAAGGAAGCAAGTTAAGTGCT